CAAAAAATACTCAGCTTGAATAAATTTGATTTGGTGATTTTTTCACTTTCAACAAAAGTTGTCAAAACATGTTTTATGGTATCAATATTTACGAGATCTTGGAAAGTTTGGACAAATGATATACATTGATTAAGTATCTCAGCAGTTGCTAGTTCATTAGTAACAATTGAAAAAGCTAAATCTATAGCATCCAGTTCTGTAGAATTTCGTTCACTTGTCTTATTCTGAAAAAAATATTCAGTGTAATAACTGTTGAACAAACTAGCTAAATTTTTTAACAGCGTGTCAGAAACAGGGCCGTCATGCAGTAATTTATTGAGTGCTTTAATTTCAGATTTATAAATTGGGGAATAACTGTTTGACTTTATAGTGGTAAAAGCTTTTATTGTCTGCTGATTAGTCGATAAACAATCAGAAGTAATAGCTCTAATAAAAGATTCGTCTAGATAATAATCCATAACTAAAGAAACACAAGAATAGTGTTTAGACAATTCAGCAAGTAATAATAATAATTTAGCGTTTATCCTAGCATTTATAACGTTTTGAATTTCATCAAATATTGCGTTAAAAGAATCGTATGATAAACATTCTTCGGCCAAATTAATGTCTGAACAAAGGCAAGCCACGAATTCAATAAATTCTGGAGCATACTCTTTTGACAAGCTGTTGTGCATTGCCTGTAGGCATGGGTCGACAATACCTAATTGAGTAATATGATTTAGATAAAACCTAGAACTGGCAACTTCAATTAAAAACTTTAAAACTAAAATATTATTTACTGGATCGTCGTTTGCGCAAACAAAATCAATGAGCGTTCCTATAGCATTCATTTCAACAATATGTTCAATAGCAACCGGACTGAAGCTAATTAAACTTAGATTTTGTATTTTAGAAGTCAAACCTGGTCCTGTTTCACCTGAAGTAATAGCATTTATTATTTTACTACATTCTTCTTTAATATTAATATCGATTAATATCGATTCACATATAATATGCTTGTATTCGGCATCTACTTCGAATATTTCAAGAAGATTGATCAAACGACTATGAGTAGCTTGACCCACTTCGCCTTTTTCAAATAATTTAGGTAATGATTTTATGAGATTATCAATTAGTTTCTTATTTTTGCTATATTCTGGAGCTTTTCCTTTATTTTGCAATATAATAATAATGTTGTCCAATATTTCTGATTTTTTATCACCTGGGATTATAATATCTAACTGACAATTGTTATAGATAATTTTTGAAATTGTAGCTTCAACAGAATGTGACAATTGGCATTTAACTAACAATGTAGTAAATAGGACTGTTGCTTCCATTAGAAGAACACTATTTGAAGTTAAGTTAGCAGCTGAATTAATAAAAGGAGTAACAAGCTTAATAGCTTTTTCAATTAAAACTTGATCGTCATAGTCACAATTTTTTAACCATTCTATAATACTTTGGCTCATATTCTGTTCTTGAATTAGTTTAGAGTAATATGAAACCGTATAATAAGCAGAATTATCTATGATAGAAGAAAAGATGTTTAAAATTACTTCAGATAGATTACTTTCAGTAGCGAATTTTATTAGCGCAGGCGCTAGCTTCTTTATAACTCCTAATGAAAGAGCGGCATCACAAGCTTCAATATTGTTTTTGGTTGTACCCACAAGCTCAGTAACTAAAGGTTGTAATTTGAAAAAATATGCAGATTTAAAACCAGGAGTATCCGGTATATCCGCTAATATAGCACTTAGTTTCGCTGTATAATCATTGTGCATAGTCGAACAATTCCTGGGTTAATACTTATTCTTTTTTACTTATTTCTTTATTTAATTGGTAAAGGATTTATAAGACACGTAAACTTATTCTACATGTAACAATAAATTTTACTAATATAACATAAGCGCGAAAATACGTGTAACAGTAAAACAAAAAAAAATTTTCAATACACGATTCAGATCGGTACTACTTGAGTAAAATTATTAAGAATACGTTTTCAATTTACTCAACAATGAACTGATCATTAAATACAATTTTTTTGACGAGCTCAAAACATAATCATGCTCTTTATTGTAAATATGAATTTCTATATCTTGAATCTGATTCAATTTATCGGTAAACAAATTTTTTGTTTGTTTAAAAGCTAGTTCGCAATCATTTTCATAGTTTATTAAATAATTAAATTTTTCATTCAATTTGCTAAGTTGATCTTTTTTTTGGTTTACCAAGTTTATAAAATTATTTTCATCATGTGTCAATTGTTTGAGCAACTTCTCTTGTGTTTCGTATTCTTTAATCTTTTCATCCTTTAAATCCTTTAAAATTTTCAACTCGTATTCAGTATTGACAGTGCATAAAAGCTTATTGAGTTTTTCTGTTTCTTCTTGCTTAGAATTAATTTTGCTGGAAAGATCTTTTTCTTTTTCGAGCTTACTTTTGTATTCAAGCAAAGAGTTAATATAGCTCTGCACATCTGTCTCATTTAAAGTGTTAAGCATTTGCATTAGTAGGTTGTGGCTTTTATTGACGTTTGAAAGTGTATCACAAAGTTTCGTGTTCTCAGCATCTAACGTTGTCAATTCATTCTTTTTTAATTTGCACAATTCTTCTAAAGATTTAACTTCATTAACATTAACATTGATCGCTTTAGCTGCTTCAATTCGGGATTTTGTTTGCGTTAAAGATTCTTGATTTTTTTGAATAATTGATTGTAGTTTTTGTTTGTCGCTTACAATACGAAGATTTTCATAATCAAGTCTTTTACGTTCTTGTTCTTTTTCATGGTACAGTTTAAAAAGTAAATCGAACTCACATTGTTTAGTGTTTATCATGGTTTTAGTTTCCGAAATTTTTTCTTGAATTTTAGAAAATTCCATGTTGGCCAAATAATTTTTTTCGACCAATTCGTTGTATTCCGCAGTGATTTTAGCAACCTCGTCTAAAGTTTCTTTGTAACAAGTTTCGAACTCAATAACTAATTGATGGTACTGGAGAGCAGAATGAAACAAATTAATGATGTCTCTACCAGCTTTATCGATTTCTTCGCCGTCGAATTCATGATCGAATCCATGTACATAGATGAAATCTATTAATGGAAATGACAAGCCTAGAATATTGAGCCAACTTTTAAAAAGACAAATCACCCTTAATATCGGAATCGCATAAATGTAACCAGTTTTTTCATTTACTTTGTTTCTAGATTCTGCATTTAAAATAGATGTGTAGTCGTAATCTAATTCATCTCGCATTCGTATCGAACATGTGCAGACAAACTCGGCACATAAGTTAATTAAAGTATTCTTATCAATTTTTTTATCTGCTGTAAATAAGGATTTCAAATATTCTTTAACAGCTACATTTTCTTCAGTTAAAACTTGCAAAAGTCCACCACATGATTGATTTGTCATTATTGACAAACATGAACACTTTTATTATAATCAGACGTGTATTTCGACTTAACAGCACGCGATTTTTTCAAGTTTTTACACGAAAAAATTTAGAATATAGAAAAATAAAGAATTCAGTATAATAATATTATTATTTTCACTGCATATTAAGCATTATTTTATTTCAAGAAGGAACATCTTGTGATTTGCATGCAAAACCCAAACGATATGTAATAAGCAAGATATATTAGGCAGAAAAACTAAATCATTGATGTAAATCTGGTTTTTTTATATTTTCACACAGCGGATAATAATGATCTAAGATGTTGTCATATTCCAACAAAATATTATTTGGAGAAAAAATACTTCCAACAGTTGGAATATCATTTAAACCAAGTAATAAACCCGAACGATACAAAGTCATTGAGTTTGCCTGGGGAAAACATCAAGTTGAAGAGCTAAGTAGTTCTGATTTAATTAAACGCATTAGAGCGCATTCTAATGGCAAAATAGGGGGTGACATTTCTTATAATGACATAAAGCAAAGTTTTTGCAATGCATTATCTCAAGTTCCAACTATTGAAATAAGAAAAGACACCATTTTAATATCGATTCATCCTGTAACTGCAATTATTTTATACGATCGATTATTGCTAAAGATTACTTCTGAACTCAACTTGAACGAGATCTCTAAAAAATTGGATATTATAACGCAAGAAGCAGTTACACAGATAGAAGAAGTTAAGCGTTATTACGAAAGAGAAAATGAAAAGTTACACAATGAGCGCAACAACAACCTTGAGAACAGCTATAACAGCGAAAAACAAAGAAAAAATAAACTCATTGAAATTGAATACAACCTAATTTTCAAACCTTATTCTTTGGAAACTGCGAACGAGTTCAATTTGCCTATGTGCGTGGTTATGCCACTTGAGATGCAGTTTTTAGAGTTTCTTATGGGCATCATTTTTCAATATTATAATAACAAAATTCAAGAGTGGAACGCAAAAGTTTCGAGAATTTCTGATATAGTTCGAAAAAGTTATCTGAAAGCAGCTCACATATTAGAAATTTATGATTACAAAGAACCGATACAATACTTGAAAGTTAATATTGATAACTTAAATAAAGCAATAGACGAGTTAATCGATTCGGACGAGCGAATTTTTACTTTACAACTAACCAAACTTTATTTCATGCCAGAGCATTGCACAGCTATCTACAATAGTTCAGTTAACATTAACAACGAAGAATTTTCGAACCTTGAAATTAATCCAAACCTCGAAGTTCTACTAGAACACATCAATCAAGAAGCCGAAACAGTAGCCGTAAAAGTTTTGAACCTAAACAACAATTTGCTAAATCTTGAATCTTTAATTCATTATAAAATTAGTGTTTCGAGAAACTCCATACAAATTTGGGAAGTTGCGTGTACTATGATGTCAGTCGGCGTAGCGATTAGTACATCGATTACTGGCGCCTTTGGAATGAATTTCCGACTACCTTTTGAATCCTCTTACTATGCTTTTTATATTATTTCGATTTTTGCGCTCTTTATTATACTGATCAGCGTTGGAGTATCCAAATGGTTCAAACAAAAGTATGGATTGTGATCTAAAATACGCTTTTTTAACAAAAAAGTTTGTCCATCCTTTTAATATATTCAATGCTGCGGCCGACATCAAAAAATAATTTGTAAGTCGCTTCAACATCTGACACTGCTATAGCTTCATGGTTTTTTCTATAAGCATAAATTTTGCATAAAGCGATTAAGTTTATTGTATAACGCAAACTAGACTTAGTAGCTATTTGCACTAGAAGCTCGGCAGCGTCTGTGTCTATTGATACTTGTTCGTGCGATATGCGCAGCTGTAAAATTTTCCTACATTCATCTATAGTGTATTGTTTTGTATTAATGATCCATGCTCTGTCCAATAAATCGGTGGAAATACCATGTGGGGATATTTGGTTGGTTCCGCGAACGTTTGCCAGTCCTTTATTAGTTGATAAAATAACTAGTGGCAATCCCTGAACTTCTAAAGCCTTATTCAGAAATGAAAAACATTCAATGTCTAGTAAGTAAGACTCGTCAATAAATAAAACTCCTGGAACAAGTTTGGCTTTTTCTTCAAGAATCCATTCACTTATTTTTTCGTCAACTTTTTGCCGAATTTCATACGGTATTTCACCCGTGTCTCCTGCAAACAACGCAGTAAACCCTTCTGTACGACTGTTTATCACGTCAATATCGTGCAAGGAAGCGTGGTAATTTACTTCTTTTGATTGTTGTAATTCGCCCGATGGTGTTTCCATCAAAACATCGTCGTTTAACACGGCATCATATTTAATTGATCGGTTGTAAGTTCTGCCCAACTTTGTAACGCGTCCAGTTTTTTTGTCTAAAGAAATGATGTCGCCAGACGTAATGTTTTTTTTTTCAAATGCAAGGATTAGCTTAGGTCCGATTTTGTAGAGTCCTTCCATATCGGTGGTTTTAAGCGTCAAACTGGCTTTTCTTGTACCGTTTTTAGTAGTTTCAATTATTATTTCTACGACTTCTCCTACGACAACTTCAACCTGGTCTTTTATATATACGGCAACAGATTGGCGCAATGCTTGCGTCAACACCTCGCATTTACTCAAATTCATGCTGTAAACTTCAGAACCAATCAAATGTGTGAATGGGATATCATTCCCTAGCGCTTGAGACATGGCATACGCAATGGCTGTTTTACCGGTTCCAGACTTTCCAGCAAGAATCATAATTCGGCCAGAAAGAGATTTTTTTTTGATTAATGATAATGCTATATAAGCTGCCTTTCGAGCCTCAACTTGGCCAACAAAACCATCAGATTCAAAAAGTACCGGATTTACAGACACATCTTGGAGATTGTATTCCAAACCCAAACCCTGAATATGACTATGTAAGCTCAGCTTAGTTTGTCTTGTATTTAACTTATTCAAATCATTTAATAACAGAGTCATGGTGGGGTAATATTATCACTTGGCCTATGACAGTTTTTTAGCTTTAGAAAGAAAATTATACTATTTTTATTCAAAATTTTTGCTTACTCAAGTCGACAATCCGGCTAGTCGGTAGAAATATTTTATACAATTAAATACCTGATAAAAAGATTTACATAGATTTGTTTTATAATATATTTTTTGTAGCTCATATGGGCAAGAAACTATCACCACGAAATTTACTTATCGTGTATTCTCGTAAAAATCTAATCACTCTCAAACCACCGGGAATGTAACTAATAAGAATCATTACTAAACTTGCAATTTGCAGTCCTGCAAAAACCAACGTTAAAATATATGATTTCTTCAGGAACGTTGAAAAAATAACTCCATACACAGAAACTAAATAAGCAATAGATAAAGTTAAACGCGACTTTTCAATCATCGCATTTAAAAATGCTCTGGGACCTTGAACTGTTCCTAATCCAATCATCCAGAAAATGCCGCCAAAAGTAAACAATACTGTAAATTTTTCCGGAGAAATGACGAGAATCGGCAAAAACAAAAAAGCTAAAATCATAAACACAGTTCCTATCAATAAAAATGAGCCAAACATCAGCAATGTCGAATAACTCAAATTAAGCAAAGAAAAAGAATTTCTCGACTGATTGTCTCCAAACACAGCTCGTCTGGCGTTAGAATAGGAAGAAGAAACGACGTTAGACATGTTTTCAAAAACTGACTTTGAATTCATACTAGAAAAATTTGCATTGTCTAAAAGTGATCAGTGACGAAAAAATCATATTGACTTACCATTTGAAGATATTCCCGGATAAGAGTAGGGATCAGAACTTTTTCCTGCCATAAGTAACTATAATTTTATAGTGTTATTATAATTCTTTAAATTACGGTAAGCTATTAATTTTTGTCAAAAATATTATTTACTGTTGAAAAAAATTAATTTATAAATCATAATAAATTAATAAAACAAAAATAAGGTAAATTACGTCGATGTTTATATTTTTCTTTACAATGTGATCGGTGTGAGATAAATAAATGGGTGAATATTTATATAGCAAATATGCAAAATGAAAAATAATGAAGCAGATGATATAATATTTCAAACCGGATCTGCCAGCAACGTCAAGTTGAACACTACGAGCAATGAGCACAATAACATGAGTTCGCAAATCGAATTTATGAAATGTATGGAACAAATCAAAAATCTTAAAGAAGAAAAGAAAAGGTTGCGCCACGAATTTAATAAATACAAACAGCTGTTGAGTGTACATCAAAATTTAGAAGCTGAAATTTGTCAAAAACAAACTTTGTTAAAATCGTTAACATATATCGTATCCGAACGATTACGGCAAGCTAACGTCATAGGGGAAGCTTGGGGTTGGAGTGAACTGAACCCCAAATTTTTGGATTCTTTGGTTTATCACCATTCCGTCGAAGAAACGTCGATTTTTTCTCGATTAAAGGTCACAGCCGTGCTCGATTACAAAATAAATTATTTTCGCACCAAATTATACGAAATGCAAAACCGTATTAGTTTGACAAACGAATACTTTGAATTAAACTTCCAAATAGACAAGTACATAAAGTATCTGTTTGAATTTGAAGGACAGTTAGCTGAACTGGCCAACAGTCCATCAAATAAAATAAGCGACGTTATTTTAAAAAAATACAACCTAAACCAATTTATTGATATTTGCAATGAAATAGCTATGTTACAAGTGATTATTGAATTAGAAATGGACAAAAACAGCTACGAAGCAATAAACAACGGGCTGGCGTTAGTAAAGACTTTCAACCAGCCAGAGATAATTAAAAATGATTAGTTTAAATTTTCACTTTTCGGCCTCGAGTTATTTCACCCCAACCGATAAGTCTCCAGTTTTTGTCGATTCTTCTGGAAAGTGCCACTTTGTAGTTTATTCTGCTGCAGACGGGTTTTGCTAAAAATAGTTTGCACACGTCCGATTTTACACTGCTCACACGGGCTCCTACACTGGTACTGCCAATATTGACCATGAGGTATTCGCTTTTTTCTATGGGTTTAACACGATTTTGCTTTTTCGAACCGTCTTCTAAGTTAGACTTTTTTATTCGAGCACCGATCAGATGTCGAAGTAAATAATAGTTAACTTCGATGGCTTCGTAAATGTCTGGCATTTTTCCTGGATGACCCATAACTTGGCCGACAAACCCATCTCCTTTTGTCAGTGAAGGGTCAACGTTGGTTCCAATACCGATCAAACCCCCTGGAACCGCAAACTGTAAACTGTTGTTGTCTACATAGAGAGAAGTGATTATGCTCTCAATCGGCTTTACTTTGAACGAATCATCCGGGTTTTTAGTAATTATGCCCGGTCTGAATTCGACTTTGTCACCAATTTTAAACACACCTTTCAATATACTGCCTCCGGCGACACCTCCAACTAAAGTGCTAATTTTTTCTCCAGGTTTGTTTACATCGAAAGATCTAATAATAATCATTTCTGGGTCAGCAGAATAGTCTCTTGGAGGAACAGGAATCTGTTCGCAAAGATACTGAATAACCACATCGATATTGTACTTCATGATTGCACTTATGGGTACGATCGGACTTTTAGCGGCAATTGTTCCTTGAATAAATGACTTTATTTGTTCGTAATGTTGCATGCAACGTTCTTCTTTCACTAATTCCACTTTGTTTTGTATCACAATTAAATGTTTAAGATTCATAATTTCTACCGCAGCCAAATGCTCGCTTGTTTGCGGTTGGGGGCACGATTCGTTTCCTGCAATCAACAAAAGAGCAGCGTCCATGACTGCAGCTCCGTTCAACATCGTTGCCATCAATATATCATGCCCAGGACAGTCAATAAACGAAACGTGTCGAACCAGTCGCGCTATGGCATTACAGTTCTCGGCTGAACAGGGAATTTCGTAAGGAGCGTCTGACCCACGGCTGGAATAGCATTCCGGAGGTTTGCAATTCTCGTTTGTGCATTTGTAAAGTTTGGCATTCGCGTATCCGAGCTTAATTGTAATGTTACGTTCTTTTTCGTTTTTGAACCTAATCGTTTGAACCCCGGATAAAGCTCTTACGACTGTGGATTTTCCATGAGCTACATGCCCGATAGTTCCAATATTTATCGTGGCTTGATGACAAATAATTTCAGGTGAACTAGGATTTAGTTTCTCCACCTCTAAATGCGCAATATCCTAGCAGTTGATTGATAAACTAGTGAAAACCTACATTTATCTGATTTGACATTAATGTAACTAACTAAAGTAACAAGTACCCAAGATTTTTTTCAAAATAATATTTTGATAATTTTTATTTTTCAGACTTGCTACAATAAATTAAATTTTTTCTTTATTTCGTATAAAAGAAAAATAATATATTCTATAGCGCTTTTAGGACGACTTCGTCGTAAATTTTAGTTGCAGAATTTTTTGTAAAATCCACTAGTTCGTCTATAGCTTCATCATCTTTGACGTCTCCTATTTGCTTGTAGTAATATATTTCTCTAGTGTTTTTATCTATAATGAGAGATAATAGAGAGTATTGTTTTCCGCTATTTCGCAGATCTTCAACATAATCTTCGAAAGGCAACTCAATCAACGAGATTCCATCGTTTTCATTTACGACTAACGCACAACGCGCAGCAGTGAATATAACGTTTGTGAAAATATTCTTTGTCAAAAACGTAACGTTAATAGCTGACAAGCAAGCGATCATCAGGTCATCGTAGTTAGTGAACTTCAAGACGTCGATTATAACTAAATACAAAACAGACTCGTACTTGTCTTCATCGATCATTGAAACAATGAAATTGCACATCGTGCTGCAGAGAATCGATAGGTCTTGTATTTTATTAGAATCTACGTCGAATCTGTAATACAAGGAGTTAACAGTCTTGCTCTGCAATTCATCGTACGTAACAATATTATTAAAACTATTGGTTGGAGTTTGAAACTGAATTGTTTTTTCGCTGTCTGAAATTTTATTCAATGTTTGGAGCTCGAGTGATTGCTTTATTATGACGCCTACGGTAAATTTCGACGAAAAATACAGCTGGGACTCTAAATATTCATCTTCATCACTGACGTTGTTATTTTGTAGCGACTTATAGTACGATATTAACGAGCTTTGGTTAATAGAATACACTGGAAAAGTGAAAGGTCCTTGAAGTACGCAAGACACCAAACATTTGTTTAGGTTAATTAGCGCTTGATTTTTGTTTGTAATAGAAACATTATTTGCCGGTTTGGATGTGTTTTTCTGATTGAGATAAATTGGCAGACAGCCATTTTTATATTCTATTTCGTGGGCAAATGTACACACATTGTTTTGTAACCTATCCAACATAAAAATTTTTATCTTAAAAGATAAATTTCTTTGCGTTAGAATATTAATTACCGACGATTTGCGATTGAGCTAATCAAGTGCGGAATAATCATATAAAATTACATTCATTTGTAAAATAATACAGTTGATTTATGTAGATTGTTGCATGCTGCTTTACATATTTATTATGTTTGTTGCAGATTAAAAATAAATTTCTTTAGGTTGGCTTATGAAAAATCATCAAATCACCAGAAATAATGCAAATTTAAAAGCGTAGGCTATAATGAAATTTTTAGAATAATGTAAGTACCTTTCAAGCAGCCCATAATTATAGATTTTAAAAATCCTCTATACAAGTGATTACTATGGAAAATCAATCAAAAACACAACCAGACGCTAAAAATGCAACTTCTATTCACTCGAAGTTTGAAAGTGAGTCTGTATTTCCTCTTTTAAAAGATTATAAGAACGTAGATAAAACAAACAACTTTGAAGATATCAATCTTGACAAAAATCCGACGCATCAAATTGAAAAAGGAGTCAATTCCGACATTTCAACGCCACGAATTGATAAAAAGAACATCAAACTACACAAATGTGAGTTCGGTTCGAATGCACATTTATGTGACGGGCTTTTTACACCCGTCGTGGGCTGTGAAATCAATCCCACAATCATTCTCAAAATAAAAGATCAATTTATAGATCTGCATTCAATAGATCCTGACGGTGACATCAGATTGCATTTTTCTTGGTGTCGTGGTCCGGCGCGGGCCGTTTGCTATTTCCACTTGAACCGCATCGCTATTATGGAATGTACAGTAACCTTGCGCTGCTACTGTTCTGTAGAATGTTTTCAACGTGGTTACATCCAGGTGAAAAAGTTTTACTTGACCAATGGAAAAGTCAAAATTCCACAGCAAAGCGACGACTACAGTTACGGTGTACCTGTTCGAATAGTAGACCCGTATACTTTAGACGATTTCAGAGAAATAGATTATAAGCACTATTCTCTGTTGAGTTACTCAGGTTTAATTTCCGGAAGTAACATAATTTGTTGCGAGCCAATAGCTTACACGAAACAGTATATTCCCACAGAAAACGACACAGGACACGAACTTTTTTTGAGAGTCGCTGTGGAACACATTTCGCGTCCACTAATTGCGTATATACAAACGCAACATTCGCAAAAGTACTTGCACGATTACCCATCCACCTCCAACAACGCCAACGAAATTATGTGGTGGACCGAGTTTGACAAACAATTGACATCTGGCAAAGATTTTAGTGACTACTACACAAACATCAAAACTAACTGTGTAGTCCCCTTGCCGCCGTATGTTGAACAAAGATTTTTCGTGCCTGTGATTTTAGGCTCTAACACTATCAAACGTTTAAGATATATTTTACCCAACACTTTTCTCGCTGAGACTTTAGGCATTGGACTTGATTTTCGGCGTTTTCGTAAAATGAAGACAAGCGGCAAATACATGTCTTCTATAGAAGAACACCATTCACTACAAGCAATGGAGTCACATTTTCAGAAAATAAAAAGAGAACGCATCAACTTTTTGACTGAAACATTTTTTTTCTCTTGGAAACCTCAAGAAGTAAAACACAAAAAAGAACTTCGTTCGATTCGAAACAATTCAAGCGGTGAGTCTTTTACTGTCATGACATGGAATGTTTTGGCCGAAATATACGCGACGGTCAAAGCATTCCCGCATGCAGAGCCCAACATATTGAACTGGAATTTTAGACGGGAGAGAATTCTTGCTGAAATCATCTCATATAACCCAGACATTATTTGTTTACAAGAAATTCAAGGAGATCATTTCGAAGAGTTTTTTGCTCCAGCATTGCTGCAACGAGGGTACGAAGGTCTGTACAAACAAAAGACTACTAAACTATTTTGTGGAGGTGGAAAGTACAAACCCGGGAAGTTTGTTTGCGACGGATGTGCAACGTTTTTTAAAACTCCTATGTTCACCTTACTAGATCATTTCGGAATTGAATTCGCTAGAGTTCTCCCAACAAATTTCAAAAATAAAATGACAGATAAGCGAATTAGCAAAGATAACGTAGCTTTGGTTCTATGTCTCGAATATAACGGAACGTATAACATGCAAACGAACAGTACAAACTCTGTCTTAGTCGTAGCCAACACTCATATTATTGCAAATCCAGATGCCCCAGACATTAAAATTTGGCAAGCTAACGCACTCACAAGTGTTTTAACGCAATATCTTATACAAGCCGGGAAGTACATTTGTGGTAAAACCGCAAGTATTACGCAACCAGCTTTAATCATTTGCGGAGATTTCAACAGTACGCCCGAGAGTGCGGTTTATGAATTAATTGTAACTGGACAATGCCGTCAAAACCATCCTGATTTTACAAACTCTCAATCATACACGTGGCTTGAGGACGTCAAATTAGGTCACGGCTTGAAACTTATTAGTTCTTACAGTTTAGCAAATGCAATTCGTATTTGTGCGCCAGCTAATTACCCAAGTAGCGAATACGAACCAGAATTTACAAATTACACCCAAATGTACATAGCCTGTTTAGATTATATTTTTTTCGATCAATCAATGTTGCAAGTAACAGCCACGTTAGAATTAGTTTCTGAGCTCGAATTATTGGAAGAAGCTCATAATTTGCAAGCCAGTGATTGGGCACTTCCGTCCGCACAAAGACCAAGTGATCATTTACCACTGCTGACGCGCTTTGAATGGAAACATTAACACGCTGATATATTCAGTATAGATTACAGTTAATTAAAATGTTATATTAGATAAATGGTGTATATATATATACACAATGAAATAGCATAGGTTTTCCGTGTATTTCAAATCCAAAACAAAAAGTTATAAAGTATAAAACATAGCAAAAAATATCACTTCAAATAAGTAATAATATGCATATTATAAAATAATAGCTTATAATTCATCTTGTTTGGTATCAGTTTTGACGTGAACTTTCTTGATATAGTTGTGCAATGCTTCCTTTGTTCTAGCGTCATGGTAAACTATAGGAGTCTTAGTTCCGGCTTTTAAGAAAAAGACAGCGGGGAATCCGTCGTATTTGAACTCATCTGAATCGATTTCGTTGTCATTGGCATCAATCGAAGCGACCATGAGAGATTTGTCATTGCAAACTTCTTTAGCGAAATCTTTAAAAATGGGGAAGAACTGGGTACAGTGGTGGCACCAAGGGACGTGAACCAGTAATAAGACATCCTTTTGTTTTTGGAAAACAAGTTTACGGAAGTTAGAACCGACAATTGTTCTCAAACATCCTTTATCCTTTTCACTTTCAGGAGCACTCTTGATGTGACGTTTGGCTTCTCCCTTAACAACATTCTCAATATGGGAAGTGATGTTATGCTCAGTAGCGTCGACAACCTTGAAATCGGCAATATAATTTTTATCATTGAACGTTACAACGAATGCTGGTGGGTTGCTGATGCTCAATAGACTTTGTGCGTGATGAGGGAAAAGTTCAGTATCAAGCCATACAAAATTAAACTTGTTTCTGAATTTTTTTGAAACTGTTTGAACAGCTTTTCGGACGGCTTCATAGTCTTTGTTAGCTCCGGCAAACCAAACCCAGTTTGAACTGTTCTTGGCATACTCTGGATAATTTTCTCCATTTATCGGTCCAAATAATGGAAGAGTTTCTCTATCGATAAGAGCCGCGAGAGTGTCTACTTTTAAATCAGTCAACATTTCGACCTCAGAGTTAGCTCGAACAATGTATAAAGCTTTTTTCTCGGATGGGTCTACTACTTGATAGTATATCCCTTTAGCTCGGTTATTTTCTCCATAATTAACAAATTCTGCTACTAATGGATCTTTTTCATCATGAACAACCAAAATGTATTTTACAATTTTAGCCTCTTCTGCTTTTGCTTGTGATAAACTTGAAGCTATTTTTGGGATGGGGGAAAGAAATGAGGTTACCCATTCAGTTATAGCTTCAGCTGTTCTTCCACTGTCGTAAGCAGTTTTTTTACCCTTGCGTATCATGTAAACTGTTGGGAATCCTTTAATTTCGTGCTTATTTGCTAATTCGTTTTCAATAGTGGCGTCAACTTCAGCAAAACGAACGTTCTCGTCACGTAAATTCTTTGCAGCTTTAGCGTATTCTGGTTCTAGATGTTTACAATGTCTACACCAAGGCGCCATAAACATTACCATGACGTTGTCATTTGATTTTATAAAATCATCGAAGTTAGCCGAGGTTAACTTTTCTACAGAGCCGTTACCGATGGCACTGTTAATCTTGACTTCTTGCGCACTTTTTTCATGGACATTGTCTAAGCAGATGACATTACCATCCGGTTCAACTTTTTTGTTTATACATTCATAATTAAGTTGACCATTTTCCCGGTTGCGCTGATCTACGACGGCATCCCCAGCAACGAAAGCTGTTGGAATTGAACTTAGTAGATACAAATAAGGAATATAACGTAGTAACGCAACTTTCATAATGGTAAAAATATAGATCGATAAAAAAATTGAATTTTATATTTATATTATTATAATATTTTTGTTTTAAGTATTTATAAATTTAATTTTTAATTGATATTTTGTATTGTATTATTTGTTGTTACTGTATTAACAAATGACGATATAATGTTAATAACAATTTTGCTGATCTCTTTGATTACTTCAGATAGTAAACCGTTTACATCTTGTTTTTTTTCTGAAATATGCGCTTGAACTATTTCTCTGTTTATCAGTCCAAATTTTTCCGATTTATTTTTAGCACTTGGATCAATAATCACTTCAATTTCCGGTACAGAATTTGAATGTCTGAAAATGTAATCTCTTTTTGAAACGCTAGACGATCCAATGATTTGGGCAGGGGTTATAGTGTCGTCAAATCCATATTCGTTCAAAAATTCTCGCGGAATAATAATATTTTCCAAAACCATAGTATTATTTCGCGATGAAACTAATGAATTAAACAACAATAAGGAACAATGAATATATATTTTTAAGACAAAAAATTGCATAACTTTTTCAGCACAGGGATAATATTTACACACCCCACAAATTATACGTTTTATTTAATTAGTCGGTTAAATATAACGACCAATAAATTACATAATATTGTGATATAAATATATGTTTGTGGATGCAAACCCAAACAATAAAGAACTAATTAAAACTAATCATCAGATAAATAAATTTAATATAATTCTCAATGGACATACTTTAGAAAAATATTCAAGTGAACACTCCGAACTCGCTTTACTATCTAGATATTTTGCGGAGCTGTTGCAAAGCCAAAACCTTGATGATGCAATCGAAAACTTAAAACTAGCCAAGCAAGCACTATTAAGCAAGAATCTAGCAAAATCCGTCAGTTATTCAATTCAATACTTGAGGCCAAGTCTGTCGTCGAAATTTTTTAAATGTAAAAATTCTACGCTTACTTCACCGACGTTGCGAATCAATATAACACCAAAAAAAACTATTTTCAGCTGGCAAGGCCAAATTAATGCAGAAAAAAATTTTGATTTTTCAGCGCTATATAGCACTCATTGTTTCAAAGGATGCTCTTGGATTCACAAGTCTCAATTTTCAATAAACAATTTATTCTCACAAACATTTACAATTACTTGTAGCCGCTATTTGGATTTTTTACGCGATATTCGAAAAGACTACTCTCTCACGGTAAATATGCCTTTGAAAGAGAAAAACACGAGTTTTTCAGCAGTGTCGAACCATTTACGTATAAACTATCATAATTTGCAAGTGAAACTTGGAAAAATGAAGTTTCCAATTGATAAACAGTCCAGTCCTAAACAATATTTTTTTAGCACGTTTTATCAAAAAGATTTTTCTACTGTAAATAATATTTTGCTTAAAAACTCCAAGTACCAGATTTTTCAAAGAATAGGCATCGATCAACACATCAGTTTTTTAATAGGGTCTATCTTTAAAAAAAAAGTTTCAATTAACGGTAGATATGTCAAGTCCTTATTCAACATTTCAGCTGGGTTGTCTACTTTTTCCAGACGTTTATCGGTCCCGGATGAACCGTATTTGATGCCGTTCAGAAACCCCAAGCTAAGAGGATTTTCTAACAGCATCGACAGCAATAACGATAATCTTTTTCTTTTTTCAACAAACCCGCAGAATAATCTAAAAGATTTTCTCAACGTAAGCACAACCGTCACACTTAAACTGAAGAATAGTGAAAATCAGAGTCTTAAATTAGTTACTAATAAACTGTTAGACTCTATCAGGCCAATTGTTTTTTTTGATTTTTCATCTCACTTTTTAGATAGATTAGTTAACTTTTCCTATGGGACTGGACTGCAAATCCAAACATTTCAGAATCAAAATTTTGAAGTAGGTCTAGCGTATCAGAAAATTAACAAACTGCAACTAATAAAACCAGCTTTTTATTGCCAATTTAATAAATAAATGTTTTATTTAATCTATAATTTATTTTGATTGGTTGATTCATCCATCATTAATTGTATGTGGAATAGTAAGTATTAATACTAATCCAAACGCGTTAGTTCTGTTTTGGCTAGTCCAGATTGTATTGTTGATAATTATTTCTTTAACCAAAAATAATGTCCGAATGGCTTGGTAAGATCAGATTATGCGAAATATTTATTCAGGCTAATATTGGAAATTTTACTTTCTATATTTAGTTTAATATTCCTTATTTTTAATGATTTACAAAAACAAGAAATCGATCCTTTTTTTTCGTATGTTAGCGGGATAATCCTCAAAATAATTTACTTTTAGAAATTGGCAGCGTAAAGTTTTAAAAAATAATATTTGAGGAAGAACCGATTTATTTCAGAACTATTGCATTTAATGACTGAAACAACGACTTCTCATATTAGTTTTTCAGAAAGGTTATATCCCGCTTATACGGCTAGCTCTTCTTTTGGAGTTTTAACATCAGACTTTCAGGAGTGGGAAAATGCGCCAGAGCATGTTTGTATCATACGTTTTCCACCAGGCGTTGCAATAATCTTGCAGTCGAGAATTTGTGCAAAACTCAACAATTTTGAAGACCTATCTAAAATCCAAGTACAAAATTTTTTACTTCCTCCTAAATTGTACGTAAAGCTTGACCTCAAAGACTATAGTTTGAAAATCAGCCCTTTAAAAAACGAAGATTTTAGGTTGTTTAAGATAGAAATCGACATATTGCTTAAAGAAGAGGCTGCAACACTTCATGAATGGCATCCTTATATAAAAAAATTCAAAGATAGCGAAACATGTGAACTAGAAAAAGTGCCTTTTAAAATAACCTTGTTTGGTTTGTTGACCGATTTACCTAATTTAGTTGAGCTTTACATAGGTTTAGATGCAGAAAACCTTGTTAAAGCAAATCATACTTCGCAATTATTAGTTTCTTTTTTCGAAGAGGACGAGGAAATCACACTTGGCGGAAACGTAGTGAGCAAAGTTCACTCATGTGAATTTTCAAATGAATACAAATCCGCTGATTATGATTATAAATTAGTTAGCAAAACTAAATGTCCGTGGCTGAACCCGTCAGGTTTATTGCCACCCATGCGTAAATTTAGAGAAGAACGTCATCGAACTGCTTTGGATGTAGACGCTGCGTTTGTTCATGCAACAGAAATTAATATGCTTGGTATGCTAAAACGAGGACGTGAGGAGTGGAATGAATTGACACTCATTAATAGTTTAGAATCTTTAATGATGAGAGAAGCTTTTAATCAAAACTCTTCTACGTTAATAAGTAACAGTCTGATCTCGAATGAAAATGAATATACGGTAAAAATTATTGATGATGTTAAGTTTTTCAACGACCCCGATAGTGATTATAGCGATCAATGTTTCGGTGATACAACGGTCGTAGATTTCCGAGAATTGATGGAAGAACGACCGTTTGCATCACATCAAAAACGACGTCGCGAAAAAAAAAATAAAATTCACAAGACTGATGTTATACTAAATAATAAAATTACTCAGGAAATGAAGAACTTAGGAGAAAAGCTGTTTAAAAAAAAAGCTTATTCCCCGAATATAAATGAGTCTTTTAGTGAGCTAAATGCTACATTGGACGACATGTAAAAAATGTTAAGTCTTCAAAAATTATTTTATTTTATTTCTTTTTTTAAATTTTTAAATTTTAAAAAAAGCAAACAATAAGTGCACGTGCACTATACGGAAAAGAAAATGTCAAGAGAAGAGTGTGAAAATCTTAATAACAACCAAGTTTTTAATGAATCTCTTGTTGTAGAACAACTTAGAAAGGAGCTGCAATCTGAGTTAGAATCTCAGAGTAGACGAAACTCAAATCTTAGCGAATCAAAAGTGCGTCTCTCAGCTATATATAACCCAGACGCAGAGATTGTTCTTGATGAGTTTATAGATAAAAACACTTTGAATGATTCAAATAAATTCAATGACGAAAACACACGTCAGCTAAAAGAGTCACTTTCTTTAATTCAAAAAACAAAAGACTTGTGTAACGAAAATAAAGCAAAAAAAGCCGCAAAAAGCTCTATGCTTTCAAGCTTAGGTACTGTCGGGTTAGCTTTGTTTATGTCTGCTGCAACGGATCTTTACAATGACTATATCATCGATCAATACAAGGTGGGGCTCAGATCCCCTCCAGGTATGAAAACTATGCGTTTCCTTGTGTCTCACGGAGCTGGTACCGTTATCTTTTTCTTACTATCTTTAATTTTCCACGGTAAAGAAATTTCGATGCAGATGTTCTCCTACAAACATTGCAAACTTTTTTTTCCAATAGCTGTAGGATTCGGTTTTAATGAAGTAGCTGGTAATTATTTACAGTCTTTCTTAACTGGTGGAGCTATTAAAATACTTAGTCAAACTCGTATCTTGTATACTTCTGTTTTCGCTTACCTCTTTTTGAAGCGAAAGATGTCCATCCTACAGTCAACTATGTTAGTGGCAATCATGCTAACAATTTGTGTGTCCATGTATGAATGTTACGATGATTTCCTTCCCAAGAAAAAATCACAACCTATTATAGCAACTAAAACTGAAAAAGCTACTGACACATCTAAATCCCCTCCAATACCGACTGACCATTCGTTTAAAACAATGAACACACCAGTACCTCCAGATACGACTCAATCTCAAACGCCATCGAATCATGAATCTGAAACTTGTTTGAATGAAAACTCCTCCTCGAATACCTCCGCGTCTTCCGGAAAACTTATAAATACGCCAACGGTTCCGGTTCAAAAAAAAATTGAACTTAACGACCCTATTTTCCAAAATATGCATGATATCGGCCCTACTATTAAGTTCATGACCGCTTCTCATCTCATACACAAAGTAATGCATAACAAACCTAAAAAAGTTAAAGAACCAGGCAGAGTCTTATTTGCAAGATACTTCTGTCCTCCAAAACAATTATTTTCTTCAGTTGAGTTAATAGATCTGAGAAATCATCTTACTAAATTCCTCGGTCCAAATTTTCATCAGACTAAGGCAAGCTTTTCAGT